CAGGCATGACTTCAAATGTGGCAACTGCTATAATAAAACTCACTGTATGGGCCAGAATTCAAGTCACTAGGAAGAATACCTACCTCAAGGAATTATGGAAGTACCTCAGGTCCATTTGTCCTGGAGATGGACATTTCTTTCCTTTTATTACAGAGAAAAGTAGGTGATTAACTTAGACTGGGCCTCTCATTTTTAGACAGCTATGGTTCTGTGAGATAAACCATCTCCAAAACCACTATCCAGTTGATGAAAATTAAAAAGAATTTTAATTTCATTGGCCGAATCACAGTATCCATAGTTAAAAGCAGAATGTGTGTAATTTCCTCTTACTCCACACCTGGATCCCAACAAGTAGGCCAATGTTGTGGCTGTCCACCTGCACCCTGAGCTCTACCCATGCATTCAAGAAAGAAGCGCTGCCTTGCTGCTACTCCAGCAACTGATGTCCTTTTCAACCGTGTTCATACTAACTCACAAAGCTTGGCCCAAAACAAACACAGGCCAAGACAACTGTTCTGTTTGGGAAAGCATTCAAGCTTGTGCTTACATCCCACTCAACCCATGACAGCTGATGCACTTCAAAATCCTCCCTGAATGAAGATACACCAGAGTAGAGCCAGAGCCAGACTGGGCCAGAAAATGCTGTGCTCAACCCCTGTGAAGAAGACTCCAAGCCAGCTTCTGCTGCACTAAGATCAAGGAGCATCAGAGCAGATCCCACAGGTATCAAAAAGTCCCCACAGAACTAACCTGACCCCGATGAAGGAGCTGATAACCAACCTGCAGAGCCGCGGGGCTCTCCTGCATTATACAGGACAAACACGCATGATCCTCTCTCCCACACAGCTACCAAAAGAGACTGCACCTGAAGCTCGGTGAGCAAAGGCAACGTGGAAGAAGGTGGAGCAGGCTGCAGAAAGGTACACATGCCGTTTGCACCCTCCTCACACACATTTCTGAGGAGCTCTGTTTGGAAACATCATCATTGCACCTTAAGTTTTCTCTCTGCCCTTTGTTATCGTTCCTGAATATGATCACCACAGAGCAGGAGACAAAAGAATAAAATCATATTCCAATAAAAGTTATCACTGAAAAATAATTAATTAAAATCCCTTCCTGCTTACTTTGGAAAGTAAAAATAAATCCTGACATTGTTCAAATGCAACGCAGTCCTCGATTGGCATTTCTGGTACAGAAAGAAAAAAAAAAAAAGAAAGTTCATTTTTCCTTACCAAAACTATGCAGATAACAAAAGCAATTATGCAAAGCAACAGTAAGTATACAGAAAAATATACGCTCATCCCCATGCTTGATTTTCATTCTCCTCTTCCCCACAAAGTATTTTGTGATTCACAAAGATTAATTCAAGATCACTGTAAAGGTGTAATCTCCTAGAGACTAACTCAAAGCAAATGGACTTTTCAGTGTAGTCTCCAAGTCTGTTTAGACAGCCAACATCCCAGTGTTCCTGTGCCATACAGCCCTCACCCAGCAAAACACTTAAGCCTGGACTTTATAAGACGTTAGTTGTTCCTGTGATTCACATGCAACAATGCAGATGTGAGAAGTTATTAAGATACTTAAGCACTTTGTTGGAAGAAGGCTTCAAAGGATCCCATTAAGAGTCAAAAACCTACATCTAGTCTTGAGTAAATAGGAAAGACAGGACCTCCTCTGTGAGGATCACTGGGATGGTACAGGTCAGTATGTATCACCATTTTTTCCAGAAACAAATGTTTAATGAAACGTTCATTTCTGTTGACAACAGACTTTGACAGAAGAGTAGATCGAAATGCCAGTCACCTGATACATCCAGTATTTGGACTCAAGTGTTCATTATCTCCCACTTACATAACCAGCTCTCCCTATTATGTGTACATATATTCCTCTCCTTTAATGAAAAAAAGATATCTTGGGCTCCAAATATTAAGAAGTGAACAGGATTTCAGCACCAGATATTCTTCTGTTACTGCCTTTGATCCATAAAGATGAAATTTTCTCAATTTCTTATGTGAGTAGAATCTGTTTTCCAAATCTTTTATTTAATTGTAAATAATAATGTTTTAAGTTCTTCTTAAAAGCTTTCAGGGTTTTTCAGATTATATGCAAGTTTCCACAAAGAAAAACAAAAAAACATCTGAAACACCTAAAGTCTTAACTGATGCACATAGTAACCAAAGCAACATGTCAAAACAAGTTGAAATAAAACAAGAAGGCCAACAGAACACTAAAGTCTTCCTGCAATCCCAACAGAAATCATACATTCAGTCTTCGAGAGACCTTTAAAAAGCTTTAGCCTCTTATGCAACTTTTAGCCATATTGTGACTCGTTCAAATGGTAATAATGGCATTGATTTCAATCAATTTATGGCTATATAAATTGAGGATTTGACGTCTTTAGAATCTTGCTGGCCTCGTTATTCTTCCACATGAAGCCTTCAGTGCTTCACAATGTGCTTGCTTAACACTACAGCACATGCATGCTCAGTCCATTAACCTGGGAATGCATTTTATACTAGCCTGTTAGGATTTATTTCCACATAAATAGAAAAAAGCCAAGCTGCGACTATGTTAAAAATCTTTGCACTATATGAAAACATAATTGGGATGGACTTTAAATACTTCTGTCCCACAGTAATGACAAAGGAGATATCATTAGTTAATTTTAGACCTAAGGAGGGAAAGAATGATTATCTCCTTTATGTGTAGGACTGAGTTTCAAGATAATTAATTTCTTTCCTTACTGGGATACTACAGTCTTAAAGTGTTCCTTAGAATAGTAGCTTTCAGCTGAATGCTGCCAGCAGACGGCTGGGAAAAAGTGTATCTAACAAAAAAAGGAGTGACAAAAAATATTCCAGAGCATGCATTTTCTTAGGAACACCCATGGAGGACCAGACTTTTGGCTACCACAATACAATGCAAAGTTACAGTACAAGAGGACATATTACAGACTAGAGGTAAAATAAGAAAGTCTACAAACAGAGGAATGGGCACAGATAACAAGACAGTATCCAAGGAACTCATACTGCTAAACTGATCTAGACGGGAGAACACAGCATTGTCATCATGTAAGTTATCAGTGTTGGAATGTCAGCAAAGTTACTTCATTTGGTACGCTGCAATGGATTTTCAATGTGGTATTCGGTAAACGGTGTTGGTAAACACAAAACAGGAACCCTGAAGGTATTTAATGCCATGGATGTCACACTCTTTCATACTCAGCTAGCCTACAGCTGGACCAGCAGCATGCAACAGAAGAGTAATTTGGCAAATGTAGTCCTTCGTCTGCTTGCAAACAGCATTTGAACCACCTGTAACATTCACAAATATTTTGAGAATCTTGAAATAATCAAGGCACATTGTGCCAAGGGATTTCAGCTTGTGACTTATTTAAAAACTGTTCACAGTTATGAGTATTATTTAGGATAGCCAAAATTCTTAATTTCTCATATGTGACAGCCATAGAGGTCCATACCTGCTTGTGATTATGCCTGGAAAAGCTGCAGAGCTGTATAAAAGCTTTTGGGGAAAAAAACAGCAACAACTACGCAAAGAGGTTGTGTAAGGATTTTTTTTTCTTCTACAGTAAAGGTTGAACTTGCTTTCACAGGTCAATCTTATTTTCAGGGAAAGTTGAGCTAACCTTCCTAAAACATGTGACTTGACTTAAAGTCTTCCAGAACACGGGCCTAACTCAAGCATCCTGAGTTTAACAGATACACACGCTCTATGTCTGTATTGGTAAATTAAGCAGAGCCTGCGCACGGGCCAGGAAAACTGGGAAACAATTGTCTTCACTGCTAAATGGCAGAGCTGCAGCCCAGCACAGCCAGAGCTTTTCCAGACAATGTTTGGGCTCTGTTTAGAAGTTAGTACAGTACAGGGACCATTTGTATTAGCCCCAGTTGCCTGAGGACTAACAGAGCTGGCCCTGGCACTATTTAGTTTACTAGTATAGACATAAGCATGGAGTGTTCAAAAACAGTCTATGAATTGTGACTGCTGATGGCCAGCAGATGCGCAAGGTCTCCCTTCATCTGCTCTACTGTCATAAGCTGCTGAGCTCCTGAACAGTTTGCTGACATTGAACTGCTTCCAATCTACAAGACTTCAGCATCCTGGTAGGAATAATGCATTTATAGAATTTGTGGGTCTGTGACACTAAGGTAAATGCACAGTAATGGCAGAAGGTAGTGCAATTCGCACAGAAGTTCACCAAGGTGTCCAACATGAGTATGAGCCCCACAGCTTCATTTTGGGTTGAAAATCCAAACCCATAAAAATCAGTGACAAAATTCACATCAACTTGGAACCAGAATTCCCCCTGCCAGGTTTACAAAGGTGAGATACGCAAAATAAACGTATGCTTCTTTCAACGGTTTCATTGGTGTTTAGATCAATTAGCTATTATTCCCATGTCATGCATGTAGACTTCAGGATGAAAACAAAACTGCTTGGCATAATTAGGCCTGCAGGATTACAAGGTCATTTTCGTATTTTGAGGACAGTTCTACATGTAGCATGTTGCAGATATAATGAACACTGCCATATGAGGCAGTTACAAGTGTTTAACACAATCCCCCAAGCTTTGAGCTGTGGATAGCTCTGGCACTCCATCGGGCTTTAACAATCGCTCAGGCTTTAGGGATAGATTCTGCTTTCACATATTATCAAAAATGAGCCTTGGAGTGCTTCAATTTTTTCATTCGCAGGAGGTAGATCAAACAGATAATGAGCAGAGTTAGCATTTTAAATGTCACAAATATTGAGGATTTAAAAGAACGTTTTTTCAATCATTCAGCGACAGCTTGAACATGTCTGACTGCCCGTGCTATCTATTGATGCTTCCGAATATGGACCACAGGTTTAGTGCAGACTCAGAATCTGCCTTTTCCTGCTATCATTACAGTTTTCAGATATGAGACCAGCTCGACAAGTAAAGCACCAGAATTCTAAATTTAGACAGAAACAAAAATAATGACTTGAATCACTTTAGGTTTGTTTTAAAAAAGTATCCATATTAAAAAGATATCTTTACCTTATTAATTAATACATTTACAGACTTTTGGCCAGAAGGGGTAATTCTGTGGAAAAGAACTGCAAAATAATACATAGAAAACTGCAAAGATGAAACTCTGAATTTAAAAAGATGAGAGAATCCTATTTTCTTTGCATTTCCCATTTTCCCCATCTCATTACCTTGCCAACTATAGGTGACATTATACTATTCTGGCTACCAGGACTAGTATCCTAGTGACCTTATCACAAAATTGGTTTTTGTAATGAAAGTTCCTACAGCCACGTTTTTTGTTACAGTTACACTGCCTTGGTATTGATACTCTGTGGTGTAAAATTCCCTTCTATTTCTTCTTCCTAGTTAAAGCTAGAAAGTGTAATGAAAACATGACCCAACCCAACTGGACTGATTGGCTTAACACTATATGTCCACTATCCCATTGTGGTTCTCTATGGGCTAGGTCCTAACAGCATCTACCTGGGCACTGAAGACTGGCCTGCCACAGTGAGACAATGTCAAGTGCCCTCTACTGCATGTCTAAAGATCTTCCTACTGCATCATTTTAGCCATTTTTCCTTTACCTCTCTGCTCGGATTTTGTATCTGAGAACAAAATAGGCAATTAGGCGCAGAGAGAAGAAGAAAATTCCAAGAACGATGAAGTCCAGGTAAAGTTTGGCATTTTCTACATCCAGTTCTCTCAGAATGGCCTCTGATTTTTGAAAATGGCAAGTGTCATCTTTGTCACAATGCAAATCTTCTCGATCCAGTCCATAGATGGAGAGAATAACTCCTTCGAACCCATATCTGGAAAGAAGAAAGATGGATTACAAGGAAAGTCCTGATGATCTGTTTAGAAGTACTCTACCAGCAATATAATCCCTATGAGAGCTCAGCTGAAACAGCGAGGGGTTCAATATCGTCCTGACACATGTGTCTTGGGGCAAGTTCTATCCCTGTTGCAATCAAGCAAATGACATGTCACTGACATTTTACATAAGATTGAATAAGGACAGAAGTTTTGCCTTTAACTGCTTCCTGTTAGTGTATAGTGCAATATCTCCAAAGAAAAATGTTAAAATAGAAAGCAGTCTAATTTCAGCTCATATTCAGAAATTCCCCTTTTAAAAGTGACATCATTAATTCAGTTTTTAAAAAATAAGCACTGGGGATACAATTATGGTTTGAAGTCACAAATATATTAAAACCAGCATCAATCTAGAACAACTCTTTCCTTCCATATGCTACAGTTTCACTAACAATGCACAGTTCCCACGTCTCCCCCTGGCACTGGGTGCACTTAGCATTTGACTTTGCAAGCAGATACACCATCATGGATCCCATGCGTACGATAGCTCCCTCCAGCTTCAGGAGACCCCACATGGGCTAGACTACAGCTTAAGGCCTCATCCTGAATTTTAGCTACTAAATGAGGGTGTGTGGTCTTTTAATCTTTGATAGGTCTCTGTGCAAGATCTCACTTGCCAAATGAGAGGATATTTTAGCTTGGGTTTTCTCAGTAATAGTGTAGCTTGGGCAGGGTGGGGAAAAGAGGGATGGGAAAATTCACCTCACCTAAGTTCAGCTATAAACATTTAAGAGTCTAGTCTAAACTATCCCTCTGTGCTAGTCTCCAGAGGTTTCCTGATGGCAATCATCCCACCTTAAGATAGCTGTCTCAGCCAGCAAGAGACAGACATCGATAGGATATAAGGTACCCATGGTTCTTAAAACACTGGTTTAGATTAGAGATGACACAAATCCCATGCTTCTTGTGGCAGTGCTACTGCAAAACTTAAACCCAGGTATTTATCCAACAAGTCTACGTAGGATACAGCAGTGATTTATACAACATTTTCTTCCCAAATGAGGTGCTGGCATCAATTTCTCAGTTGGGCATGCTGTCCCTATTATTTCAGAAATCCACTATTGCAAAATCCAGGAAGATTTGCATGCTGTGCAATCCCACTGAATTCAAGGGGACTGACATGAACTTGTGGCTGATAATCTGTACTGAATGTTCCTATTTATTTCACATCATATACAACATGAAATGCAGTGAGATAATGTGGTGTACATCATATGTATGTTTATACTCTAAAAGAATGTGCTGTGAACACAGTCTCTTTAGCACCCAAAATAACCAAACAAACAAGAAAAGACAAACAGCATTTCCAGAGGGGAAGTTAACGGCCTCCCTAGCAGTACCTGACATAGGAAATGTAGGACATCCACTGGAGGTATGTTGGGATGGTATCAAAGCTGACAAAAAACCCAGAGAACAGTAGCACGGGGATGGCAGTAACTGGGCCCACAAAAGTGGCCACCTGTGAAGAGAACAGACAGTCTCTTGTCAAGACAGAGAAAAAAATATAATTAACTTGCTCTTTTATCTGATGTCCTGACCTCCAGTGAGGAAACCAGCCTTTAGAAGAGCAGACCTTCCTTATGGCAAATCCTCTGTTCTGTGCCAAACCTAAACAGGCAGTGCAAACTTACTCTTTAAGCAGTGGGGACTGATGCCATTCAAGTCCTTCTTACAATGCTACTCCCCCAAATTATCACCGTTCCAAATACTAGGAAATTATTGATTTTTTTTGGATGAGATTTTTTGTGAGGGGGAGGTTAGAAGCTGCTAGTGGATGAAAAGAGGTACCTCTCCACTTCCTAAACCTTTCTGCTAGTTCATGACACTGCTGTGCTGGGATCTGTCCTTTGAAGGACTTGAATGCATCAAGAAATTTACAGCGCAAGAGGGGCACTGTGATTCCCTTGCTTCTCTGGGTATGAGACCCCTCTTTCTAATTATTATCCTTTCTCACTCACTCCCCACTGAGGACACACAGACCTCCCTCCTCATTAACCCCACATGAACACTAGCTTCAACTGGTTCTAAAACATTGTGAAGAGGATAAGGAACACCTCCAGCTGGGTAGTTTTGGTGGGGAACAGATCTTGACCTAACTCCAGCCTGTCCTCTCTACATCCCCTCCAGGGCAAACGTATCTCTGGAGAGAGGAGAAGCACAGGCATCATATAAAAGGGCTATGCTGGTCTCTACAGGGTGGCACAGAGAGGGAATCAAGTCTTCTACTACAGAAATCTTGATAGCATCAATGAATATTAATGTCAATATCAGTTGTTATCACAAGCACCACAGAATAGTTCTGCTGTGGAATGGTCACCTCAGCACATCTCCTGCCAGGAAGCAGAATGGAGTTACATGGCCAGCTTCCAGTGTGACAGTCATGCCAACAGCTGCTTCTCTCCCTCCCTCTGCAGAAGTTTAGTTTCTGGGCAAGCCTCTTCCTACCTTGCCTTCTGAAACCTTTTTGTATGTGTATAGAAGAACCCTCTCCTGAGCTACTGATCCTCATGGCCTACCTCCGCTTTATAGATGCACAGAAATGTGTCAGTCCTGCAGTTTCTAGGACCTGCTCAGCCTGGGATGAATAGCAAGAGACACTCAAGCAGGGGCAGGCACAGCGCCATTCAGATGGGGAAGGAACTTCAGAGCCTTACATCCAGTATGTGTATATGCTGTTTTAAGTTGATGCTAGTGGGAAGTGTCAAGTAGCTATATCAGCCCAAGACAACTTTTTGCCTGTCGTCTCTCAACAAATGTCTTGGGGACACAGCAGCAGTCACAGTAAGCAGTCAGTGTTGGGAAACAGCAGGGTTCCTCTGACACCACAAAACACTATCGGTACCTGAAGGGATGTAGAGGCTGCACCTATGAGAAGACCCAGTGACTGAGCCACCAGGGATGTCATGGTTCCCAAGGCTGCGAAGAGGACAAATCGGAGTGCATCAGATGGCTGTGAAGTCATCCAGTACACAATGCTGCAGTAAGCCACAGGAAACATAATCTGCAAGGAGATACACTTGGAGTTAGTCCATTAAAGCCAAACATTCACCGTTACTCTGAATAAGATAAAAACATAGAGAGTTCTAGTTAATTCACAGCTCTCAGCCTTTCCATTACATGACAGGCATGGCTGAAGAGAGTGAATACATCTGCCACAGACTGTGATATCTATCTTACTACTTGGGCATTAGAAAACAGATCCCACTCACTTACAGCCCTTTTCAATTCCCCTTCTGCAAAAAAGCAAAGACAGTCATCTGTTTATTAAAAAAAATACGTGGTCAGGTCTCAGCTTTTGTGAAGGTCTGCTGTTTACTCTTAGGGTGCTTCCAAGAATCTGTGCATCTATGAACAGTTCCTCCACTATTCAGATGGATAAAATACCAGTACTAACCTTCTTGGCAAGTGGACTTGCCACAAACTTAAATGGTTCTTGTTTTATTGAAGAGTAGAGCATATACCTGAAAAGGAACATCAGCCATGGTTTTGGCGAGATAGTAGGCTTTCAGGCTGTACCAGTAGTTCAGATGCTCTCTGAGAAATACTCCCATCTCAAGAGGAACTACAGAGAACACAAATTAATAAGTTAGGTTGTCAGTGTGCAATATTGTTGCACATAATAATATCATTTATTCATATCTAATTCTGCACTGCTGCAGTCCCATAGTAGGACTGGAACTCTGAGGCCTTCAACAGACCAGCAAGTTTCAATGATTTGTAATGAAATATAAGAAGCCAGCCCTGAGAGTTGCTCCCTGTTTAGACTATGTACCAGTCTACTCAGATGGTCTGAACCTCCCTTAAAGAAGCTTTTTGAATTAAAAGTTGTGTCAAAACTTAAAGAACATGGTTATTCCTTTTGATCTAACAGGGAATCCAAAGTAACAGCGCTCCCAGAGGAAGCATGGAACAGTCCGTACCGCAGGAGTTTGCTTCTGACACCACATGAATATGCTGATCTTATGCAGGAGTCATGACTTAGAAGTCCTAGAGAAATTATTACACCCTCCCCAAGACCAACCGCAAGCTCATGACATGGTTGAGATGCACTGGCACAAGGGGAAATTCCAGTTCAGGACTGTAACAGTGAACTGTCTGGGTTGAGAAACACTGGTGTAACTGGAGGGAGAGAGGTGCCACTGGGCAAGTCTACCTCTGCCTCTACACAGCAGTTTAGTGAGTGCAAGATTTATCCCCGCACCTGCCTTACAAGTAAAAGCAAAAGTCAAACATTATCTTATATGAAACAGATACATTACAACACCCTCCCAGCTTACTGCAATCTCCTTGTCCATTGATGTAATAGTAAGACTGATACTCACATGTAAGGACAGTTGGCATGAGCGCAGCAAACATAAGAAACAACATGGAAAAAAAGAGGAAGCCAGAGTTGCTGAGGACTTTCTTAGCTTCATTGCCAATGCCTAAGTAGAGCAAGCCGATGAGCAGTCCAATGCCAATGTGTGAGGTGATACGCAAGTGTGTCAGAACCTACAAACAAGGAAACAGTAGTATTTCTGATCAAAAAGTATGGGCTCAAAAACAATGGCTATATGACTGAAATCAGATATATAGATTGCAGAAAAGGAGTACTTATGTCCAGAAGAACTTACACAGAAATGTTAATTTCCTACTGGCAAACTGGGCTTCAGCTAAGGAAAACTTACTGTAATGAGCTTCCCAGTGTCAATAAGACACACGGCTATTACAGTACAGAAAATTTCTTCCTGTAAACACAGGCAGAAACTGCAAATGCTGCAACCTGAAATCTTACAACGTTATGGAGCCATTGGCCCTCATTCATCAGGAGAAGGAAACTTTCTCTATGACTAAAAGAAAGATTTCCAAGAGCAGAAGAGAGGCAGAAAAGGTATTTCAGGCTTGTATAGACCAAACTAACTTAATCAGGCATAAAATAGCCTTCTGTGCCTTCTCTGTAATAAAGTATTTCTACAAAAGTGCCGTGGTTTAACCCCAGCCAGTAACTAAGCACCATGCAGCTGCTTGCTCGCTCCCCCACACCCAGTCTGATGGAGAGAGAATCAGAAAACAAGTAAAACTTGTGGGTTGAGATAAGAACAGTTTAACAGAACAGAAAGGAAGAAAATAATAATAACAATAATAAAATTACAATAATAATAAAAGGATTAGAATATACAAAACAAGTGATGCACAATGCAATTGCTCACCACTTGCCAACCAATGCCCTGTTCCCAAGCAGTGATCCCCCCAGCCAACTGCCCCCAGTTTATACACTGGGCATGATATCCCATGGTATGGAATATTCCTTTGGGCCAGTTTGGGTCAGCTGTCCTGACTGTGTCCCCTCCCAACTTCTTGTGCCCCTCCAGCCTTCTTGCTGGCTGGACATGAGAAGCTGAAAAAATCCTTGACTTAGTCTAAACACTACCCAGCAACAACTGAAAACATCAGTATGTTATCAACATTCTTCTCATACTGAACCCAAAACATAACACTATACCAGCTACTAGAAAGAAAATTAACTCTATCCCAGCCAAAACCAGGACAAAGAGGTATAGAAGAACAAAAGAAATAATAAAATTTGGAACAACAGCAAGCCTTTACAGTTGAGCAGGAAAAAAAAATCTTAAAAACAACACTGGTCTTCAGTCTATGCATCAGAAAATAAGTTACAGTTTCCCCTTGGTGGAGATGAGAAGAGGACCATATGATCCATGGTTAGTGCTTGCACACATCTGAGATATGCTCTCCAAGTGTACCAGAGACATTCTGATCAGCTAGTTGAGCAACATGGAGAATGTGAAGCTGTATTTACACTTTGGATTACAAGGGCCCTCCCACATGAACATGCCAATTTATTTTTGACCACATCTTTGGTACGAGACCAAATGTGCAATATTCCAGATTGCAGAAAGGCAAAATTCAACATATTAATTGATCCTTGAATGATAAATGCACTACAATGTAAAACAGCAAGGAAGAAGAACAAGCTATGGCAAAGACATGTGCTGGCAAATCAACAAATGGGCATAATATATATGGTCTGGAAATAGGAAGATGCTTCTTAACCACTGGAGTTGCAAGGTTCTGTCATATCTTCCCAACCACAGCAGTGGGGAAAACAGCTGACTGACATTCAATATATTCTTTCCCTTTCTGAAAGGGAAGGAATACTGTGGTTATCCGACAGCAGAGGCCTGGACACAATGGTCCAGTAGGTTTCCTGCAGGCCTGTAGTTCTGTGCAGACATGTCTACACTGGAAACAGTAGTGTCCTAAAGAGATACCTGCCTGGGTGCAGGGCAAAAGCAGTGTAGCTGCAGCACCTGGAGCTCAGTGAAGCTCAGCGAAGCTCAGCTTACCCTGTCACAAGGGTAACTTATTCATACTGAGCTCCACATGGCTCAACCGCTTTTGGTTTCCAAACTACCTCATCTGAATCCACCATGTGCCCACCAGTATAGATGTATTTATTGTCTGGCTCTCCCCTTTCTTAAGGACAGGTACGTCAAATTAAAATATCAATATGTATTAATGTATATATTGTCTTTTCCCCCCATGATGTAAAGCACTGAAAACCTTCCAACTCGCAGAAAAAGCAGCGGACAAACCCTCCTCAGATTTATCAAATTGCAAATTTGCCACAGAGAAAAGGACTTGGTCAACCAGTACCAATTATACAGTACACGGGTGAGTTCCTTGGAAAGGTGTGCGTGTAAGGTCTAGTTAAAGAAGCTCATCTCCTTAACTTATGCCTGTTAATGAAAGGACAATCTTACCTAGAGGACATTTCAAAGCATCAATCAGACAATGTAAATAGTCCTATCTCTGAAATTCACGAACAACTCAGCTACTTAGAGATAAGAAAAGCTTTCTTGAGTAAAAACCAAAAGCACCATTGCGTTTTGTTAATGCAAACTAGGCACCCAAAACATTTAATGAACATACATGAAAACTGCAGAGTTTGGGATTCTGAAGGAGGTTGTTTATTTTTAAGAAAAAAGGTGAAAGATATATTTTTTTTCCTTGGGAATGAAGAGTTTCATTATGATGCTTACTTCATCTTGGTATTAAATGTATGAAAACAGAAATGTTCCCTTTTCAGAGAAGGAAAATTTTTATTTACCAATTTTCTGTTTCAAAAATAAAGACCTTAAGTATTAACCTTACATCACACTGAAATTATTATCTCTGCCACCCTGAATTTTCTGGAAAAACTAATTTTGTGACATACCAGTACCACTTCTCACTCACTTTTCAGTAGGATAAATATCTGTACAAGGGACCTGGCAGCACAGAAGGGATTTAAGCTTTAGGTTTTTAGGCCAGAGGCTTCTGAGTTCCTCCAAAGAAAACTGTTCTTCACAATGAAGATGGTACAGTTAATAGCAAGACTGAAAGATCAGTCTCTTTCCTTTGAAATTCTATGATGATCTTCATGCATGGGAAGCACAGGACCTTTAAGGCATATTACACTACCTCACAACCAACTGAATAGACCTTTTGGCTACAAAAGTTATTACAAAGGCAGTCTTACCGAATCCCTCATGATGGTGAGAAAAGTTCTTTTGAAGAGGATACAGAACTGGGTTAGGCAGCTGGCAGAGAAGCTGTGGCAGCCTTCTGTGGAGGAGGAATCCTGCGGAAACACATAAAAGAACAAACTTCTTTCTTTGCAGTATCTTGCTTAGTTTTCATTCACAAAACCCCACTCTCATCAGCTGAATGTGCCCAGAAACCTCCTCCATTGGCTGAGGATTTAAATTCTTTTCCTCCCCCACCTCCAGTCTCAAGCCATGCCCATTAGTTGTGATATATGAAATACCTCTTCAGAAGGCCGGTGCCAGAGGAAGGGATTCAACTCATTCTCACCACCAACATCCCTCTTGTAGTCTGTGTCACATATCCTCTCCCGTACCGCCCTTACTAGCCGGCTGTTCTGGTCTCCATATTCACCAGATGCTACTTCCATAACTACAAAAACAAGAAGGTAAGTTACTGGTTTACACTACTGACTAGTTACAAGCCTTATTATTAAATCCCTTTGGTTCTGTAGCATTGACAGAAACAGGAGTTTTGTCTAGAACAGGCTCTAAAATGCCACATGCAAATTCGTATGTATACACACTTAATTTAAAAGTATCTTTCTATAAATCTTCAGAGATTTCTCTTCATCCTGGAAGTTAAATGAACCATTTTAGAGGAAAGGCAGTGAATATGGAATAGTCTTGGTAGTAAAAAATCACAAAAGTCTATTTTTGTGGTCCTTACTGCTTCTTTGGAATTCAGAAACGACAATGAAAAAAACCTCAATGCTATTAGCTGTACAATACCACAGTGGTATTGTTCAAGACACAAAACCAGAATACTGGAGCCACTTTGAAAAGCCACTAAGATTAATTACTATGAAACACTAATGAATATATTTTATCTTTCATTTCCTGGACCTGAACTTCCACCAGAGAGAAATATTCACTAAATTTTACCACTAGATGGCATTCAAATTACTTAGAAAAAATCTGAATAATTTTGAGTTTTGGTACATGCATGTACACGCGCACATACGTACATATGCACAGAAGTATAAAGCACACCTTGGTCCCCATTACCCTGAAGGTCCTAATCAAATGAAAAATAAATTAAATAAACTATTCAAATTGTCCTTACCAAAATCTGCTGGATTGTGGTAGGTTGGGCAATTCAAACCCAGATCTCTCAAGTAAGGGACTAGGTTTAATACCTTCCCACGGTAAATGCATTGTCCTTGACTTAAAACATAGAGCTAGAAAACAAGGCAAAGAGAAGAAAAAGAAAAAAGAAAAATGTGAAATAGTATCAAAATATTTGAACCTGCTATCTGTATAACAGCAATCCATGAACCTAATGACCTCTTCTTGTTCTCGTGGGACAAACACCGTGGGAAGATTTGTGACCTCTTGGAACTACCTTTGCATGGAATTACAACTAATGGAAAATGAAATGCTTAAGGTTTGAATTCTGCAAACATTCCCTCCAGGACTTAAAGCACATTAACACAGAAACAGACTAATTCCAGCCTTAGACACATGCTGAAAATAGGCAAGAAAGTATAGAGCCGAGCCATCTAGTTTCCACACATTATGGATATTTTGGGCTGGGAGACGAGGCTGGTGAATGCAGGAATGGAAGGAGAGGTGGAACAGCACAGCAACGGGAAACAGCTTGATTATTCTTACTTTTAGCTACACTATTGACTTTACACACACCTCCTTGCTAGACTGGCAACCTGCAAAAGCTTGTTCACCTATGGTGCAGTAGGTTTTCTCTTAGCTCTCACAGGTCTAATTTAAATCTCCTAACAAGACTGAAGTAAATTTAAATCTAACCTAAACAGGCATGGTCTACATCCTGTTGTTAGGTTGGAGAAAAGGTCTCCAACTGACTTCATTTCAATTATTATTATTTCACATGAATAAACTCTTCTGAATTTACACTTGTGTAGCTAGGATAAGAATGTGTACTGGCAACATTGCCGACATTGGCACTAAAGCTCTCTTGCTCTTAAATTACCCTAATTTACTTTACTGACAGCCCTGTGCCCAGGAGCAGTGGTGAGTGAAGACGTGAAAATCACAAGTGTGATAATCATGATTTCACAAACATACCAGCCAGATTCTTTTAAAACATTACTTGTAAATAATGGAAATGGGCAGAGAAGAAAAAAACATAATCAAAAAGTATATTTTACTCTTATTTATTTAATTACTTTATTTGATTTGGAACCATAGACTAGAATTATTCATGTTTTTACCTAAAGAGTGTAGCCCTAAAAGTATAACCCACCTAAACCACACATAAAGAGAAAGCATTTGAGAATAATACCTGATCAAACAACTCGAACAGTTTAGCACTGGGCTGGTGAATCGTGCAGATGATCGACCTGCCACCCTGGGCTAAAGCCTTCATCAGAGAAACAACCTGAAAACATGATGCACTATCCAAGCCACTGAATAAAAAGAAAGAACTTTGTTATCCACAGGTCCATATGCATCACTCAAAACTAGCACATGTATTGTTACTTTGGTCTCTCACTATTATCCTTTTATAAATTTTGTCTGCAGCAGTTTAATTTTATCATATGCCCACCTTATGCTTGTATTTCTCCATTAGTCTTTTAATTAAGTTGGAAGCATGCCTGAGAATGAAAAATAGAGTATTCTCAAAGCTGCCTTAAGGGACTTCTACATTTTAGGACTGCAGATTTAAATGCTCCCAACTTTAATGAATAGATACATATTCATAGCTCTCCCAACTTCCTCCTAGTCTGATCACAGAATTTGATTTTAAATATGCTATATTATTAAAAGTCACACTTCAAAATGCTTATATTCAAGTTATCTTTGCTTGAAAAAAAAAACACCTCATGCTACAATCTGAAAATATTTTCCTCTCTCTCTTCCTTCCTGTTTAAGTTTGTGTCTCCCTTAAAAATTATTTATAGTTTCATGGTCCAGCGATTACAGTAGTGACCCAAGGCAGTAAGTACCCAAATCAAATTACTTCTTGTGGTCTTATTCAGTATTTACAGGCAACACAAAATGAGCCTTTTCCAAGGACTTAGGGGCGAGTAACCTTTCTGCAGCACTGTTCTACTACAAAAAGCATTATTTGTCTATCTTTAATTTATGGCCTTGAAGTACCTGGTTGGTTCATCAAAAAACATGACAGGAGGATTGTTCACCAGCTCCAAAGCAATAGCAAGACGCTTTCTCTGGCCTCCAGAAAGACTCCCAGTCCTCGTATTAGCACATGTCAGCAAACCGAGGGCTGTCAGTATTTCCTTTACCTAGAGGAAACAAAGCAATGCATCATTTAAATTTGTTAGCACAAAATAAAAGCCTCTTTACGGATTTTCATGGAGAATGTAAACTAGCTCATGACTTTGTTTCACCATCCATACACTGAAACCTTTTTCCATCTAATGTAGCATTTATTAGATGCAGTGGGGTTTAACAGTCTACCATTTACTATTTTGACTCAAATTCTACTTGTTTGTCCTACATGACCTGTCTCAATAAGGAAGCCTTTCCTGTGAAAATGGAGTGGAAATCAGTTCTTCTATAGCACCCCTTGGGTATGGCACTGATATCAAAAAGAGCTTTGCAGCATGTTTACACAGTGAAATCAAGAAGCTTTTTTCAATAGAACTTCTAGGCTGTATTTACAAGGGATTGGAGAACTGTATTAACAAAAATTAGTGGCTTCTATAGAGCAATGACCTGCTCTTATCTCATCTGTACTTGTATTGGGTTTGTGTGGCAAGGTTTTGGTAGCAGGGGGAGGTTACAGGAGTGGCTTCTGTGAGAAGCTGCTGGAAGCTTCCCCTGTGTCTGACAGAGCCAATGCCAGCCGGCTCCGAGACGGACCTGCCACTGGCCAAGGCCGAGCTCATCAGCAATGGTGGTAGAGCCTCTGGAATAACATACTTAAGAGGGAAAAAAATAAGTTGCTGGGACAGACAGAAATGGCAGCCGGAGAAAAGAGGAGTGAGAACATGTAAGAGAAACAGCCCTGCAGACCCCCAGGTCAGTGCAGAAGGAGGGGGAGGAGATGCTCCAGGCGCCAGAGCAGAGATTCCCCTGCAGCCCGTGGGGAAGGCCGCGGTGAGGCAGGCTGTCCCCCTGCAGCCCAGGGAGGTCCACAGTGGAGCAGATCTCCACCTGCAGCCCGGGGAGGATCCCACACCTGAGCAGGTAGGCTCCCGAAGGAGGCTGTGACCCTGTGGGAAGCCTGTGCTGGAGCAGGCTCCTGGCAGGACCTGTGGAGAGAGGAGCCCACGGTGGAGCAGGTTTTCTGTCAGGACTTGTGACCCTGCGGAGGACCCATGCTGGAGCAGTGTGCTCCTGAAGGACTGCACACCGTGGAAGGGACCCACGCTGGAGCAGTTCATGAAGAACTGTAGCCCGTGGGAAGGACCCACACTGGAGAACTTCATGGAGGACTGTCTGCCATGGGAGGGACCCCACACCGGAGCAGGGGAAGAGTGTGATGAGTCCTGCCCCTGAGGAAGATGAAGCGGCAGAAAATAACATGTGATGAACTGACCGTAACCCCCACTCCCCATCCCCCTGTGCCACTGGAAGGGGGTAGGTGGAGAATCCAGGAGTGAAGTTGTGCCCAGGAAGAAGGGAGGAGTGGAGGGAAGGTGTTCTGAGATTTGGTTTTATTTCTCATTACCCTACTCTGGTTGACTGGTAATAAATTGAGCTAATTTTCCCCAAGCTGAGTCTGTTTTGCCCGTGACGGTAATTGGTGAGTGATCTCTCCTGTCCTTATCTTGACCCACGAGCCTGTTGTTATATTTTCTCTCTCCTGATCAGCTGAGGCGGGGGAAGTGATAGAATGGCTTTGGTGGGCACCTGGCGTCCAGCCAGTGTCAACCTGACACAGTTCTTCACAGTCTAGTCTTTAAAGTGCAGCCATTGATTTTAAGTGTTTTCATTCTCCTCAGAGCCAATTCAGTTGTCACACATACTCTCAGATGTTTGGGATGTCCTCAAGGCACAGCCTCAGGAAGGGCACAGCTTGTCCAGGGTCTTTGGAGCAAAAGGAGAACAATGCCAGCAGCTATGAATCAGTGATGGTAGATCTGGCCTAGCAGCCCTATACGAGGAAAATAGCTCTTTGGCATCAGTAAAAACATGGACGTAAAAATGAATGAATCCAAGCTACATTGCTCATGCAATTAAAAACTCTACCTCCTAAAAGGTAGAAAGAAAGCCCAGACATTTAATACTTCACTGAAGTATAGGAAAAGGAGCCTGTCATTTTTTTTAAGTAATAGTTGCTTGGATGGATGGAGTTTTCCAGAAAGGGTGGCTAACATGGTAAAAATTGGTTAGACCAACCAGGGCCTGACCCTTGACTTGTCCTGACTTTAATTTCCTGGAGCTACCTCTCTCAGTGAGAGGGGGTGAAAAAAGAACAAAACCCACTAACCTTCGTTCTCAGAGAGAAGAGCCCAACGTCCTTCCCTTTATCTCTAGGAAGGATGTTACACGATGTGGGCAGCACAAGCTAGGTCAGCTAGAAACATAAACTACGATTCACTGGAGGATTTTTCACTTGTCTTTGTTTTAAACAAGCATCTGTAATCTTGCTAACACAACTGTATAAATTCATAAAATTTATCTATGATAAACATTTATCTTACAATTTACAACAATAAAATGATCTAGTCCAGCACAGGCCAGTACCACTAAGCCAAAAATGATGGCCCTTCTACTATGTGTTGAATAAATGCATACAGTACAGGTTTTTCCTCAAAGAGCTGTTTGTAATTACAGTGACAGTGTGAACCAGTGAATTAACTTGCCTGGCCTAACTTACTAAAGTGTAAATGAATTAAGAGTTTCAAAGTACAAATAAAATTAACAGCTGTTTCTAAGCAAATGTATTTTCCAGTAAAAAAATTCGTGTTTGGCTTATTAAAAAAAAAAAGGATTTGAGAGAATCAAAGCAATCTTAAGCTACCAAACATGTTGATTCCTGTAGTTTCCCTCTCTGGAGCTCTTTATGATTTTCAAGGATTCTCTGAGATTGAAGAAATGCCAAATGGTCTAATTTGGAAATAAATACAGACAAAAGACAGCCACAAAAATGGCTGCTCTACCTTTGAAGTTGCCATAGTTTTCACTCTTCAGGCAAAGGGTATACTTTTCGCCAGGTGGGTCAGAAGCAGTTTCACCTTCTCCTTTATAAACCTCTGCTTAAGAATCACATGCTGGCTACTGTCAGAGGCGCCTTTTATTGGAGTAAGAGAATTAAGTCCAACAAGTCAAGTTCAGGCCTCCATCAGATAAAAAAATGAATTAAACTGGCATCTGGGGAAGAGCAGGAAGCCTCTCATGTTCCTGAGACAGCAGGCCACAACTTTCTCATGTCCATGTTCCACTCCCACTCCTGTGTCCCCTCATCTCCTCCTTCCTCCTGCACAACTTGGTTTCACCTGAGTCCTGCAAGGTGGCTTCTTCCAGCCACCTGCAAGACTCCCTAATTTGCCCACAGAGGGTCTCATCAGTGCATGGTTTTGGGACCGCAAAATGCACCAAAATGAAAATCTCAGCTTTCTTTCTATGAAAAAAAACCCCACTGAAAAATCATGGAACGCCCAAAACTTGAATTTTGCAGGAGTAAGTGTAGCAAAAACATTGGGAGCTTCCTATACCAATAGTAACTGCCTTTTCATTCGTGGGGCAACTGAATTGCTAAGCCACTAGAAGTCTTGTCCAGAGTAACATACATGTCCCTAACAAAGACAGAAGGAGCAGCCAGCTTTCTTGGAAGGTAAATCTTAATGTTAGCCATGGGGCCATGTTATCACATTAGCACTCAGCGTAACCCCCACATAAGAGAGGCTTCCTCCTCGAGGAGGCAGTGTATGAGAGATCATACTGTCTCCCTGTTGGTGCTGTCTTATGCTGGATTGAAACATAGCTTGAGGCCAGCCAAAACGCCTCCAAACACTTTCTGAGCTACCGTTTCACTTTTCACGACTGTCTCAACAACCTGAACCATCTCCGCTTTCACCAGTGCCATGATTTTTTGTTTATGTTTAGCTCCAGACATTATCCTCCCTAGGCATATATGGTTTTGAAACATGCTGTGCAGCACCAAACTGTTCCTCTCCTACACTTCGGCATGCTCTGGTAACTCTAGCCAAGCACAGACACTTGAGCTCTGAGTGTCCTTAGGAATACACAGGCCCAGACATTTTAAGTGCAGAATAAATGTGTAGAAAGGGCACATTTCCAGCCCTTTAAAGTATAAGTGAGGTAACCAAATTCAGTTGAGAAAGCTGCCTCATGCACAAGCTAATGTGTCGGAAGCCATTTTGCCTGGTCACACACCTCCAAGGTATTTTCTTTAAAAGGACAGCCCTGTGTCAGAACAAATGACAGGGAGGAATCGTGGCAATCAGATAGGTGAGAGGAGCACACTTCCTAGTGCAGGTCCAGCTGGGTTATAGGTCTCCATGGGCAAAACACACCAGGACTTCTCTCCCGCTCAGAAAAGTCACATCAGCCGCAGGCAGAAGCAGAACAATGCAGCAAATGTGCAAGAGTAAATCGTGCAACTCATTCCCAGTGTTTTAGAAAAGATACATGCATGTTTTAGCCTGGTTTCCTACTTGTCCAAACCTCGGTCACCCAACACAGCTTCAAAATACATTAGTCTGTATCTTAACTACAACTGCATTAACTTGTCCAGTGCAACGATATGCCCACCAGCATAGCCATAAAGATCAACCCTTTCAAACACAAGCACAGAAATTTCTGCAGCAGTTACAAGAACTGCTGAGTTTTTCATTAGTCCTTGGAAAAATTAAGCCCTACACTCACCATTGCCAGACATGACTGATTAATCTTGCCACACACAAGATGCCTGAGCCCTCAGACATGCCTGTAAGAGAATCTAAGGTGTTAAGGCACATTAAAAGGAATCCTACAAAACCTGTGAACTTATTTCAGTAGATCTTTGACAATTATCTACTCAGTCTCATACAGAAAGCAACTTCCACAGAGACTGTAGTAAACATTGCCTCATAATGATACCTGTCAACTTTGAGGTTATGATTTATTCTATCATTACAAGTCCAACGCAATTCAGTGTTAGATAAAAATGTCTGTTTTACAGAGCTCACTTCATGGACCTCTTTGGCATCCCCCAAAAATCTCAGTTTGATGGACAGTATACATACCATTTCTCTCCTGCCTTCATCTTTCTCTTGAAGTTTCAGATGAGCAGATACCTGGAATGCAATACAATGGAATTTGATTTTGAACTGGTCTGAAGCACAACAACCAGTTACAGTGCATGTCTCAGACACAACATCCCAACATACCATTTAAACAACTTCTTCCAACCCAGTCAGGAAAGTTTAAGTTGAACTATAACGTTCAAATCACAAGCATCACATATGCACGTTCAGTAGGTAACTGAGTATAATCTGACTTAAGCAATCACTGAAGTATCTGACAAAAAGCATAATAGGAAGGCCACTCTACAAGTCAAAGCGCCTGAGAGGAAGATGGGAGAGTCATGTTTTTTGCATAGCCACTAACTTCCCAGGCAATGCTAGAATCACAGTTTATTTGTGCTTCATCTGTATCATAAGGATAACCAAACTCTGCCATTCTCCAGGATGTGAACAAATGAGTACAGAAATAAATAATCTTGTGAAAGATGTCATTTGCTATCTTAAGAGGCAGCTCCACAAAACATTATGATTAACCCTTATTAGAAGCAATTAAACCGTTAAGTAATTATTTTTGTCAGAGCCTTGATTGATTAATTTACACAGCAAGTATCATCTGGGCCCAATTCTACAAAAGTGGTCCTATGGGATTCTGACTACAATGTTCAAGTAAACAAAAGAGAATAAAAACTTCCTCACAGAGAAAAGCCTTTGCAGAAAACTAGCCATATAAAAACTACAGTGATTTCTTCTGGCCTTAAAATTTGGGAACTGATGCTGGCATACAGTATGAGCAACCTTAGCCTGATTTTGGTAACACCCTCTGAGAAAAACTGGCTCGTTTCTCAAACTGAGTAAGAGGCACTTCTAGACTGATGGGTCAGGCTGGCAATTAGTAAACTTCTTGATGCTATGAAAAACGGTAAGAAGAATTTACGTTGCCTGAAAGTCTTGGGATTATTCTGTTCCTGTTTTTTCATGTGAAGAACAGGAAGAGATTTTATACAATGCCTTTATTAAAGAAAAGGCACAGAAGAGTAGGAGTAGAAGTAGCAGAGAGACCATGCTCAAGTCAAAATAGCACTTTGCAGTCAGAACATGGAAGATGGGGAGAAAGAGAGAGACAAGGTTACTCATCCACTACCCAAGAAAAAAGATGGTCCCTACAAAGGCTCATTCTGTGCAGAATTTCAGGTTCCATTCTCTAGGATGTCTACGGAGTAGAGCCTTAGATCTTCTTCCAAATCATAATGTTGATTACAAATTGAAAATGATAAAACTAAAGAAGCTCAGATAACCCATAGAAGGATAAGCCTGAAATGGAATTCAAGGCACCATCAAAGTCCAAGCACTTCCACTAAGTGGAATCAAATAGAGATAACGGCTTGTGAAATTACCAGGAGTAAGAACATGTGCACAATACACAGAGATTTTTTATGTTTTCTCCCGACCAATTAGAGCAAGAAACAAAGCTCACCATCATAGCTTCTTGGACAGTCAGATGAGGAAGGAGCATGTCATCTTGCATGATGTAGCAGGAGACTTTGCGAAAAGAGCGCAGGTCACGAGGCTGTCCATTGATGAGGATTTCTCCTTTCATTCCCGTCTCTCTGAAACGAACCAACAAAATAACCAGGGGTGAATCTTGCCTTCAGTTGTGCTGCCAAAGGCCTCAGTATGTGGAATTCTTAGGTAATTACCATCCACTATGGAATAAAACTGATACAGTGGATAAAAATTAATTTATTTCATGATTATGCTCTCTTTCATAAAAGGCTTCATGGAATGTTGCTGAAAATTTCACTCAAAGTTAGTACAAAACGTGTCCTGTCTTATATGAATGTCTGAAAAAACATCAAGCCATTCAAGTGATTTTTTTTTAGGTTTCTCTATCCTGTTCCTTGTGCCCTAAAGACAGCAACACACAGACTCTTTGTATTTGGCCATACAACAGGGGATTCGGGAAGATGAACCACAGTCACTTCATACACTGCAGTTTGGTCAAGACATCAACATTATGAAAGTGGCAACTAAAAAGGGTCATTTTTTTCAAGTGGTTATAAAATGCCATTTAAAAAATATCACAAACATAAGACACTGAGTCAGATTGGTTACACAGCTAGAAGGGAGACTTTTTTTGTGTGCTTTTGACTTTAAATTGCTTCCTATTTTTGGATCAGACTTTTTAACAGATAAATCCTAAGTGACCTGAACAGGACAAACAGAAAAAATATAGGCAATAAGAATCTAATTAAAAATCTGTGAAATACCTGTTTTCTACAAACACTGGGGTAAGATTTCTTCTGCTGTTGTCTCCAAGGAGCCATCAGGCTAGGTGATCTCATCTTACCTGGTATTTTCATTGTTACTGACCTGTATCCTGCCAGAATGTTCATGAGCGTTGACTTCCCAGCTCCTGAAGGACCCATAATTGCAACAAGTTCTCCACTGCTGAACTTCCCTGAAATTCCTTTCAAAAGGGTCTTATAACCTGAAAGAAGAAAGAAAAGTTCACCGAATCCTTCACAATCATGTCTGGGGGCAATGAAAGTTCATTTCCACTAAACAATGATGACAAATAGGCATTAGTGGGTACCTACTGAGAGGTTGATGCTAAGATCAACACATTGCAATAACTACCAAAAGCCAAATTCTGAGTGGAAGCGGCAGCCTCCTCCTGCTACACAAGTAATATGGTGGGATTACAGAATCACACACTCTTGATTCACTCTAGGAAAATTTTCAAACAGGGCTAAGAAGCCTTGATGCCATTTTCTAAGTGTCTTCTCAGAGTATTTTACTAGGATGCTGATGCCTCCATTAAAATATCTACTACTCCACAGCTAATGTAACTCCACAGCCTTGGAGCAGACTGCCCTCCAATTGCAGCTTCAATGCCGAAATTGTGCCCTCTCACCAAAACAACTTATTGGAGAGTAATAGCCATGATCTCAAAGGCAAAGCCCTATGCTTTTGTTCATTCCCTGCTAAAAAAAGGTATGACAAGAAACACAGCACAAGGAGACATACAGGAAGACAAACCTGCTTAGTTCTCTTACCATAAGGACTCCTTATCATAAGAACTCTAAAGGCTTGTCTAAAAAGGGAGACTGATCACAATAACTCTGTAAAAATAATTCCATGGGAAATATTTATTCCAGATTAAGAACATGCAGGTTTTTTTCTTATTTAGATTAATCCACCTCAAAAGACCATGTCACAATAATAATGTCCTCAGGCAAAGCTGTTCTAGAATAACCACAATACCAACTTCAAATATCTCACCTTGTTCCTGAGTAAATTACTTTTGTCAAGAAATGTTAATTTAAACCCCAAACTCCATGTTACTCTGGGTGTAAGCAAACTGGACTCCAATGAGAATTCTAGATTCAGACTTAGTTGCATCCATCTTGTCTTGCATGATTCCCATTTTAAGGCATAAGGACTGGGTGGGGAGGGTGGAGAGAGCCCTGAGCAGCTTTTAAAGTTTTCAGGATCTCTTTCCCTTTTATTTTTTGCTTGCTTACTTCATTTTAATTACCAGTGCTTTTAGTTAGAAGTCATTATAACAAAAAAATGTTAAGTAAGGTGTCAAAACAAAAAAATTCTCATATGTTGAAAATGTTACTGTCATTAAATTAAAACCAAAACAGAAGAGTGGAAGATCCCTTTACATGCAGTGTTGGGATTTGACAATCCATTTTGCCATACTGGTGCATATGCAGGCAGCATTTATATTCCACATGTAAACTATTCCAGTCCTGTGATTATCATTAGCATAGGTTGTAGCTGGAATGTTGAAATGCTGTAAAAAAATCACGTTGCCTGCAAGCTCCTAGAAAATAAATGGTGGATTACCTTCTTCTGATTTCTCTTTATTCCTAACTCCATAATTTCTTGTTTTCCTTTCATCCCCCCTTAGCATTCTCTTTAAATTTTCTTCTTTTCTCTAGTCCCAGTTCACACTCTTTCAATGCCACAGAGAGCAAACTTTGCACCAAAACCATTAATGTCATGCTGCCATGGGGTCTCCCAAATCCTCAGCAAATACTCTTCTCTGAGCATTCCCCAGCCCAAGAGGAATGCAGTAGCCACAAAAACTCTCTCTAGAAATATCTGATCCTGCCATTTTCATGGCAAATGTCCTAGAGAATGTAATTGACCAAGTGAATCAAAACATAGTTTTCTCGAGTGCTTTTTTTTAAACAGGCCAGTAATTTTTCACTCTAAAATCTTGTCCTGGACCTGAAAGAAACAACTTGTTTGGAAGCTACGAGATATAATAGTACAAAAACAGCAGTGTATTCACACTGACTGTTTATGGCACACGACCTAAAAACAAAAGCAAAGACAATCTTCTATTAAAAGGAACAGCTATTTCAAAGAGAGAAATCCTTGGCACTCCAACAAGGTCAACAAGTTTGTCCCTCACACCAATGTCACCATCCAAATCACCATTTGAAGGAAAAGTACAAGGAAGAGAGCAGACCTTTGAAACATGACAATATTTACTAAATGGGATCTATAGAGACAAAGTCCTTCACACTATCCCTTAAGTGTAATGAGAACCAGGTACCTCCCAAGCCTATTAAATTTGTAAGGGACTCCAACGTTACTTTACCACTGATAATTTGCATTACGCACACACCCACCACACACACACAAGCTATATGCAGTTCAGAACTCTTTCTCACACAGGTCAAATGCTGGCCAAGTTGGCCTGTCATTAACTTCCACTGGGACAGGATTTCTTTCAGCGGGTCCCACACGTAGTGCATGGGGTAAAATACTCATTGGTGTCTGTCTCTACTCCCTGTCTGCCCCACAAGGCAGTTCAACATGACAGAACATCACGTGACAACTCCATTACATCAATTTCTATTGTATGGGCTTGTTCTGACCCAGATTTCCAGGGTAAAGGGTTCTTGTTAGAGTTTCGTAATAGTCAGCTCATCATGAGTTTCAAGATCAGGACAGTAAATATTGCACAAACTTATAGGGGAGCATAAAGAATGTGTACTGCCATGAATACTGAGGGAGGTACAACCTAAAATACATACTCATGGTCTGAAAACATGCATCAACATACATACCATTATCTAAAACTGAAGGCTCTCCTCTCACTACACATGACTGTGAGATTTAACATTACATCCATTGAAGTCACTTTTCCAAACATAATTTCACTAATTATAATCAGTTTAACTTCAATTGCAGTAACTTCTCCCTCCTTACCTGCACTTGTTTCTGCCCCTCTGATGGGAGATTTCCATTTTAAGTATTCTGCACACAATGTTAAATCAGAGCGGGACACATCTCTGCAACTCATTTGCAAAACAGTAGAGGAACATGATTTAAGAAGAAATAGAAAAAAATATGCGTTTTAGATCAGGATCCAAATCACTGGCATTTTAAGTTGCTACCAACTCAAAGCCATCTCTTCTTTTGACTGGAAGCACATAAGAAGCCTTTCTATTACAAAGGTTAATTTAGCAAACCCACAAAAAGATTTGACACTGTAGCAGTAGCGTGGTGCCCAGTATAATCCTTTACAAGGAATTAAAGTCCGTAAGTAACTACAGTCTTCTCTTTCAGAATATTGAGGCTAATCTTTAACTGAATCAGTTGACCTAAAACTTCTATATGGGCCACATGTCTTTCACAAGAAACAGATTATGCATTTGGAGGGGATTGTATTCTTCTAGTACAGGGACTGTTTCATATCCATCTGCTATATATTAGGAATTTCTGAGCACGTTCAATCCTGGTTTACCTGGCCCACCTCATTTTCCTTACAGAAGTGGCCCTCTCCCTTCCTCCATGCAGCAAGGAGTTTTCGTACCCCAGAGTTCAATGAAAGGCTGAACCTCAAAGCAAACTCACCCCAAGATGGATGCATGTTATGGGCTGTTCAGATCGAGCACCACAGCAGCTGTCTCCTTTTGGACTGGACTTACATCAAGATTAAGCTTGGCATCATGACCTTCAGTTATTTCTCTTAAAACTGTTTTGATTTCCAATGGAAAATAGCTTGGATCCTTTCAGTTTTCCAGTGTCCCCTCCTGGAGTTACTGTGACCTCACCCTTAATATATTTAGGGGTGATGCCCATGGGAATCCAAATACCAGTTTTCAAGAACTACTTAAAATACAAATTTGTCAACAGGACATTAATATACCATCACCAACCAGAACAAGCAGTCAGCAACTTTCTCAGTCCAACCCACTAAAAATAGAATACAAAAAGTAAGAAATCAAAATTGGAACAGAAAATTCAAGCGATGCAAAATTTTTTGGTCTTAATTTCACCTCACATTACATTCCAGAGTTCAACTGCTCCTCCCAAGAAGCAAAATTTGTTTCATTTTCCCATGTTAGGATTTCCCACAGAAAGCAAACTCCAGGCACTGTGATACTAGACCAAATTCGCAGCCAGAAACACATGACTGGTCTGACCAGACCTCCATTCAAAAGGCAGATTTCCCTCACTGCCCGGCTGCAGCACAAAGCCCACAGCAGCCCCTTGTTTAATGAGCTGATAGAGGGTGACCTTTTGTCTTTGGTGAAGATGCTAGGGGAGCTCTTGTTGCTCAAGGCACCAAAACTTTTGCTAATGGATTCAGCAAGGGAGAAACCTGTTGATGGTTTTATCTGCTTCCTCATGGATTTTACAGGGATTTCTGGGAGATTTGGTTTTACCATTCTCACAAAAATTATGACTGATCTGGAAAGAAGTAAGCCACCCCCTCCTCATACTTAGGGTAGGAGCGCATGCTTCAGAATGTGTCTGAATCAGCACAAAAAAAACCATAACCAAAACTCACCCCTATCCTTACAGTGAATTTCCTCAGGTAAATACTGTCTCTAGGTTTTTAACTAAAATGCTTCATTCATTTGCATTTCATTGACGGTAATATACTCATTTGTTACCCAGAGAAATGTCACACAGACTCCTAGAAGTTTCTAGGCGTTGTAGCCTAATTCTGCATCCATCAATAGCCACCAAGAGCCTGTCTCAGGTCCCGGGTGAGCACAGCAGGCCTTCCCTGCTTGCTGCAATTAGAGCAGGATTTGCCCTTCCCAATATATCTGAACTGTTTCTCTTTCATCACAAGCTCTTCTGAAGGTAGGAAATAGCTGTTGGTACCCTGCAAGTACCACTGGCCTGAAATTACTCAAAGGTTTTTCAGAAAATTCACTATAGCAAATAGGTAACATAGGAAATTTCAATTCAAAGAGCTCAAATTTGGCAAAACTATAAATGACTGAAAACCAAGCCACAAAATAAGCAGTGTTCGGCACTTAAACGTCAAAACCAAAGACATGATAACCTGCTCTTCCCACACTCTCAACCTGCAGCCAGGCAGAGGTGCACCATTTCTTTAATTAAAAAAATGTATACAAGGACTGTATTTCTATGTGGTTTTGGGTGCTTTTTTAGATGGGATGTGATATATTCCTGCTCAGAAACATCCAGCTGGAAATACAGAAG